AAAAAAAAAAAAAGAAAAAGAAAAAAGAAAAAACATTAAAGCAATGCAGCCTAATAAGCCAGGAGCCAAAAGACTCCCAATTCTGGTTACACAGTAAACAAGTTTATTACAGGATCACAATTATCTAGTTTGTTTAGTCTGATCACTATTGAATTACTTTCTAAACAATAGCACAGCACCTCTTTTCTAAGATGTTCAGAGCATTTTTTTAATTCTCTTTATAATAAACCTCAAAGAAACCTACTAAGACCCTTCCTCTTGGTGGACTTCAATTGCAAATGTCACTTTTCCAAATCAGGAAACCTTACTTAGTAAGGTACTTCAGTAGAATTCTAAACAGTAGAATCACTCATATCCTTCAACTTGATCTTGTTTCCCATGAACTTGAGGGGCTCCTTCAAGATGTTTTCTAAACCCTGGGAATAGACTCAAACCCTAGGAAGACAACCTTCCCCGGTTGGGACTTCATTCTCTCTCTTGGTAGCTAATGTGGATTTACAATTAAGACAGAATCTTATCAAGCAGCCAAAAAGAAACCATAAGTAGCTGACTGTACTTTCTAACTTTATAAGCATTGGTTTAAAACTACAGTGGAAGGGGGCCTGGGTGGCTCAGTTGGTTAAGTATCACACCCAACTCTTGACTTTGGCTCAAGTCTTGATCTCAGGGTCATACCCGCCTCAGGCTCCGTGCTCAGTTGAATCCGCTTGAGATTCTCTCCCCCTGCTTGCAAGCACATGCTCTAAAATGAATCTTAAGGGACGCCTGGGTGGCTCAGTTGGTTAAGCATCTGCCTTCGGCTCAGGTCATGATCCCAGGGTCCGGGGATCAAGTCACATCGGGCTCCTTGCTCAGCGGGGAACCTACTTCTTCCTCGGTCTGCTGCTCCCCCTGCTTGTGCGTGTTGACAAAATCTTTAAAAAACAAAAACAGTAGAGTTGTGGAAAATAATCTAGTCTGATGCTTACCTGAGAGCAACTCAAATTTGTTGCCCATTAAGTCTTTAGTCTCCACTGTCTTGCATAAGTAGTGTGAGGTGGAAGCTTCTAAACCAACCAACCAGATTCCCAAGTTTGCAGGGCTACAATTCACCTCAGAAGACCTTCTTTGGAGCTAATGCACTATAAGGGCTGAAGCAGCTGTGCTCAGGGTGAAGACTCATTCTTGTGTTTCTGAGCCCTGTACCCTTCTACAAAAATGGGGACAATCTAGATAGGTGAAGCCTGAGTCCTATGATTACCACTCACCTCCAGACAGGCAGGAAAATCGGTGTCCAAATACAAGACGGGGGCATGAGAACTCCACTTAGAAGACCCCCTAAAAGCTCTTTCCTCCCTGCCCTTTCCAAGTCAACCCTGTGGAACATGTAACTCTCCCACTGCATTGCCTGTACCAAATTGGAGAGGAAGTGATGAAGAGTCAATAAATACTAGACTTATAGAAGTGATGAAGAGTCAATAAATACTAGACTTATTTGTAGTATTACCATTTGGGATGTTGAAGGGAAAACAAATCTTTCCCCCAGAGTTTAAGTCACGGGAAGCTAGGTGGTAAAGAGATGGGGGAAAAAACCCACAAAACCCCACAGAATACAACTTAACACCTAGGATGTGCTGTCTTTGAACAAGCTTTGTATTAACTACAGTTGCTCTCCTCCACCCTTGACTCTTTTCAACTTTCCAGATAAAACAAAAATGACCTACACAGCTGCTGAAATTGAAGAAACCATTCCAGGAACTCTAGGAAATGGCACCCACAAAGGGGAGAAGTGCTCCCCTTGCACAGCCTGGTCAGAGGACAATTCAGTGCAATCAACTGGAGGAGAGCAAAAGATGAAAGAACACCAGAGCCGTGTGTCGAGTTTCTCTAGCAATGCCAGCAGGAACTATCAGAACTGACAAACCTTGCCTGAAGGGAGGACAGTCTACCTGAAGAGCCTCACCTATCCCCAGCTCAGAGGTTGATACTTGTTTAAAAAATAAAGACTTGTTCAAGAACAGCCCTATGAAAAACAGAAACCAAAACTGCCTTTTGTCCCTGAATTTCCAGAACAGTGTTCCATAGGCATATAAGAGGCACTCAACTTCTGAACTAGCCAATAAATAGGGGCTTTTACCCTAAAATCAACTATCCAAATCCTATTCCAGCCTTTGTGACAGAGAAGAGGAAATAAATGCTCAGAGTGCTGCCAGATTTTAAACTTCCGAAGTCCTTTACTAACCTTAAAATTCCCTTCTGACGTTTCTGGGGTTAAAGCTCCTGAGAACGCCAACATGACACTGAATGTACAAAAGCAGACAGAAAATGCAAAAGCAATTAAACAAAACTAACTCAAAAACTCAGCCATAATTTGTGAAATGGACACTTCTGGAGAACGCAGAGGGAGAAGGGAAAAGCCAGAAAACAAGGAAACACGAACATCCACAGAATTATTCATTAATCTATCCCATCAATTAACTGTCAGTGGTTTTCGTATGATCCCCTTTAAAAGTCAGATTTTGCAATCACTGCAAAATGAGTGATTTCTCTAAAGTCTAATTCTAAAATTTTGAATTTTCTCCAATGAAACATACATATTGCTCATATGCAAATAAGCATTAAACAATACTTGCAAATAACAGACTGTGGCTAATTACTTACTTGTGATTTTTGTACCGTTTATTATGATTAAGTTCAATCGAAACCCTGAGGACAATTTTAGGGCATCAGTTGCCCAATGTTCAGGACCACCAATACTCCTGATACCAGAGCAAAAATCACCAATTGGGGGTAGGAGGGGGCGCCTGGGTGGCTCAGTCGGTTAAGCGTCCATCCAACTTTTGATCTCAGCTCAGGTCTTTGATCTGTGGGTTCAGTTTAAACCCCGCACTGGGCTCCAGGGTGGGCGTGGAGCCTACTTAAAAAAAAAAAATTACCAATCTGGGTCACTAACACTCTTAAAAAAAGATCTGTGAAAAGGTCTACCCCACTATTTTTACATATTATACCCTTATTTACGAATCTGTTCAAATTGTTCTACCAACTAGCAGTCATCACCGGCCAGGAAACTTGGTTAAGCACAACCAACAGAATTAGTTTTCTCAGGAAGGTAGGGGTAGATCTGAGATCTAGTATACTCCCAAATTATCCTTCAACAGAGAACTAGGTAAAAGAAATATATAAAGAAAACAAGTTACACTATGTCACACAAAAGCTGGCCCTAAAATTTTGCCTAGGATTATACTCAGACTCCTATTTCTCAGATCCTGAATCTGGGAATTAAGGTTAATTTGTTGGTTCAAGCCAACTCCCAGTCATCTCTGCCATTTGCTCAAAGGGCCTTATTTTATTGCTTCACTCTGTAACAAATATTTGTAATAGTAAATTGGTAAGCCACTGACACTTTAGGAGTAAAAAGAAAGGTGAAAAACTAAGAATAGTCAACTGGTAAAACATCAAGAAGTACATCCATTATACTACCCAGTTACATATAAAAGCCTAAGGGAAAAAAATTGCCTCTTTCCATTTGGTAGCAATTGGCTCATTTCCAGCCTTCCAATCTAATAAAGATATAAAAACCTAGGTTCCGCTGCTTTACATTAATTAAGCCTCCACCCGAGTAAATTAATAAGCACAACACTCAAACTCTCCCTAGAATCCGCCTCATTCATGGTAGAAGGATCAGCTTCCCCATTTTGTGGCATGAGTTTCTATAGTTTTGGGTATGACAAATGTATACAAACAACTTTTCAAACCTACCCCCAAATAGATTCCTACTACCCAATCCTTATACTTTGGGAAGCCAAAAGCAATCCTTCTGGTACTTCTTTCCTCAAAATCCCCTGCAAGGCTAGGGCAGATGAGTATCCACGAAAAGAAAATGTGCTTTTCAGGTTCTGGGGAACTAGACTTCCTCAATTCCAGTACCAGTCCACCATTTACTTGACTCTTCTCTGGCCCTGAATTCCCTCCTGTAAAGTGGTTATTATGTACGAAGTAGCTGTCAGGATTCAGTGGACATAAAGGGAAGATATTTGTGATGTTATCTGGCTACTACATGCCATTCACCATAACCAAACATTTATCCAACCGAGCACTCCTATAGAGGACTAAGAAAATCTAAGTCTCTGAGATTACTAGGAGACAATAAAGCTCATTATCTACAGGTATAGGACTCAAAACAAAGACGGATGTAGAACCTTAAGCAGTTTTCTTCTCTATTAAACGATTTTCCTTTTAACATACTGCCATATCCACAGCTCGTCATTGAAAGAAAAAACATGTGAAACCCCTTAAAACATTCTTGTGCATGGACTTAAACTTTATATGATAATCTGTCAAAATTATATTACCTTTAAAATAAGCATAAAACATTTTTACAATTTGCTTCCCCAATTAATTCTTCTCTTGGCCTGATTGATACCAATTTCTTTAAAGTGATTAAAGGGAAAGAGCATGGGAGAGGATCACACACAGGGAACTTAACCGTCATTGTTTTGGACAGTATGCAACTTCTCTGCCCTTGTTTCGACTAGCTCAGAAATGGCAAGGATAAGATTTAAATTAAAACACAAAACAAAACAAAAAAAACCTTTAAAAATCCACCACCAAACTCCAGGATTCTCTACACGGCATTTTAAACGTGAACACAGATGGGGAGGAAAAAGTAATAGCATACATCCTTCAGACAGACAAAAGCAGTTTTATAATCTTTTATTATCAATAACAACAGCTGCTTTAATGTGTCTTTGTCAGGCAGCTGTTAAAGGGTGGGTGGGAGGACACCCTTGACCCTAACAAGGAAAACGCAAGCCTTTATGTACAAGCAAATTTAGAGCTCTTTTAAATGTCCAAAGCTATTAATTAGTTTAATTGAGGCATTAAACTAATTCTGAATTAACATATTTGAATAACCAAGAACTAAAATGTTCAAATCTTTTCTAGTACAAAAAAATTAAATTTGCTTTAGTTATAAAAGAGCTCTCTCAATATACACAAACTATACACTTCAGACAGTCACAAAAATGTGAGCGGAAGGCTTATCAAAAGACATTTAATACAATTAGTTTTCAACAACCCCTTGGTGGTCCACATCTACAAAGATATCCAGCCCAACCCAAACCCCCCTCCAAACCCCACCCCCCACAGAAAAGCACATACTTACCAGAATTTTTAGCAAGTATGGTTTGGGAATTTGTTTTTTTAAAAAAGGCCCCCAGGGCAAGTTATTTACAGTTTAATTGCCACTGTCAACTGATCTGGACCTTGACCGGGATCGGGACCTGGACCTCTGACGATCCACAGATGCTGGAGACTTAGATCTACTTGAAGAACCACGTTTCTGGCTCTTCTCAGGCACAGGAGACCTACTAACAGAACGGGATTTGCTCCGGCTCCGGCTCCTGCTCCTGGACCTGCTGTAAGACTTGCGACTCCGGGAACGAGACCGGCTACGAGACCTAGAGGAACTCCTGGTCCTGGAACGAGACCTGCTTCGTGACCTACTAGAAAGGAAAACAAAAAACAAAAAAATACAACATAAGTGGCAGGCCCTACAAACCCACCAACTAAAACTTTGTCTTAAATGTTAAGAGAGATACCTGTGCCTTTTGCTGCCTTCGATTAATTTGATTTTTCTCCCATTTATTTCCTTTCCGGAAAGTTTTTCAATAGCATTCTTTAAATCACCATAAGAGGCAAACTCAACCACCCTACAATGAAAAAAAGCCATTTGTAAAGTTATATACATCTGGTAGTCTGGTCTCAAACTACGTATAGCAATCCAGAGTATCTAGATTACCTTTCCTAGATACTTTTGCTACTGCTATATTAAGAATCTTAGAGCTTGGGGCGCCTGGGTGGCTCAGTTGGTTAAGAATCTTAGAGCTTGAGAACAGCATTACAAGGTTTCTCGACCTCCAAACCATTGACATTTTAAGCTACACAGTTCTTTGTAGTGGAGGGCTTTTCCTATGCTTGGTGGCCATGTTTAGCAGTATCCCTGGCCTCTACCCACCCACAAGATGCTGGGAGCACCCTCGACCCATCACAACCACCAAAAGTGTGGTCCAATGCCCCCCTACAGAGCAAATTCATCCTCAATGGAGAACCACTGCACTCCAACATATCCAAATTCTAAGTTTTCAGGAAACATTCATAGTAAAACTTTCAGTAGGTTTTAAAAGGCTGTTATGACCTTCAATACACACTCACCCTTCATTTAATTTAGGTCGATGTGCATCCGCAAAGGTTACTTCCCCAGCTTGTCTCATGAAATCTTTGAGATCCTTAACACAAGACAATTGTGTCAAGCAAAGAAAAGGCAACTTGACACACAAACAACCACATGGTATAAAAAACAAGACTACTGGAAGAGAAGATGTTAGATAAAGTACAAACATGGCATTTACCACACTTGTATTCTATCAGAATTCAAAAATTATCTATGCCAGGGCACGAAATAAGCAAAAAGCATTATTGCTTTTAAGCAAAATGCTAGAGGATATTCACATTTTAACATTAAAGTAGTATTAGTTTATACTGAGCTCAATACAAAAGGAAAAAAACAAAACAAAACAAAAAAAACAAAAAGAAACAGTACATATTTTTAAAGTAAAGACTAAAGTAGGAATTTTATATTAAAAAAAAAAAAAAAACAGAACATTTACAAGACACCAGTTATTTTGTGCCCCATATGTCATTAAAAAAGTTTACTTTACCTTTATTATTATTTCCCTAGGCTAGTCAAGCAGCAAACCATTAATCGGTCGGAGAAACCTTCATGACATATGCCCGACTGGCTCTTCGCCACCCACTTGAAGGACACTACCCAATCGATGGAAGCCTTTAATCGCACAGCCCTCCCTATTAGCAGACTACTGGCGGATGCAGACATGTTCTACTCTTGTGCAGTTACCAAGGACCACTTTACTGCGATCAGGATTCCAACGACCACCTAATTTCGTATCTTTCAACTCTTTTCGACCAGGACCTCTTATTCGGAAGCGTTACAGGAAGACAGCTCTCAACTTAGGGATCAGATCACGTTATCAACGCTCTGGGATCGCTGCAACCTGGCACTTCAAGTAAGTGCACCGATTACGTCTAGACCGGCAAACACAGATCTAGAGGTGGCCAATTGATCACTGTAGGAGCTGACTGGCAAAGTCAACCAGGCCCAACCAAGAGTGACCAAGACAACGATTAGGATAACCCACAGGCACTCCTCGTCATAAGGCCAACGACACAGATAGGCTGGCAAATAAAGGGTTTAATATTTGGTTAAAATTGATTTTAAAAAACAAGAAAAAATATCCTCAAAACATTAAACATTTGATCACTAATATTAAAATTTCAAACATCCCCCAATTACGTTTAATTAAAATTTTAAAATTACAATTAACTCCATTAATTTAATTAAAGATAAAATTACTTTTAATAAAACATAATAAAACATTAACTAACCCATTAATTTTTAAAAAGCCACATTAAAATAGCTCAAAACTGTATTTCAACAAACCTGCCAGCTGACTCTTGAAGATAAATTCTCAACTATAAGCCGATTTTCTGTTCTTACAGGTGGAGCATTTCTGAGGAAGAAAATGAGTACTCACAATGGAAGAAATGCAGCAGTGTGTACCTACTGTGTTCGACTGTGGGCAAATTCAAACAATCAGAACAAATCATTCAAATGACTCCCATCGAGTTTCTGAATTATTTTATAATAAGACTTATTACACACACTCATCAGGAACAATGGACTAACATAGAAATAATAGAAATGATTATATGCTAAGTACCAAAATCACTTATTGCTAATGGTTCTTAAGCATTAAAAACTCCTCCTGCAGTAATGATTGTTCAAAGCAACCATTCACGATCCATCACATACCGTCTATCATTTCGAGGTCTGCGACTACTAAAACGGTCAGAATAGCGTCCTCTACCTCGTCCACCTCGAGACCGAGCCCTAGCATGTTCAATAGTAACCCTACAGGAAGGGGAAAAAAAGGCTTTGTAATCCACACAAGCTACCCAATATTTACTTTGAAATATCCCAGCTGACCTAGTCTATCTTACGGTGCTAACTAGTTACAAAACTAACGTTCTCACCTTTCACTGCACAGTTCTTTTCCATCGAGTTCATATACAGCATCATCTGCATCCCTGGGATCCTCAAATTCCTAAAATGTAAACATGGAAAGAAAAAAAAAAAAAAAGCCAGTGCTTAACCTGTGTTTAAAGTGTATTCTACGCCATATTAAAAATCACTAAAACCGTGTGACAGCATGAGTATCTTAATGACAGTGCCATACACATAAGCTCAATGGAAAAGTGAGAAGTGGTTTCCCTCCAACTAACCGTGAGGTTCTTTTATCCCTTAAAAATACCCTCAACTCAGTAAAATCAAAACCACTGCTTATCAAAATCTTTACCGACTTAACAGTAGCTCTAAACAACCAGTTGTAAGTACTTACCACAAAACCAAAACCTCTTTTCAGATCAATATCTCTTATTCGTCCATACCCCTTGAAGAATCTTTCCACGTCTTTTTCCCTGGCCGCTGGATTTAGCCTCCCGATGAATACTCGACAACCACTCATGGTGTCCGGCTAGTATTTCCTGTCACAAAATAATTCAATTAAGACAATACCAGTGAATGTCAGAAGAATGCCTGGTCAAGGGATCAAAAACATAAACGGCATAAAATAAAATGTTTACCCGGTGATGTTATAAACAAGATTGCCAAGAGTTGCCTCTTATTAGGCCAGGTCCCTTGCAGACAAAATTAAAACTCGGCTCCCAACACGATCCTTCCCTGGGCCCAGACCGCAGCAACCGCAACGCCCACTGCCGCCTCTGGAACTGCGCAGCCGCACTCTCTCCCCGGCTCTTCTGGCCCCCTCCCATCTGCCGCAGTTAGGAAAGGCCGAGAAGTGCGGGCGGAGCCGACCCCGCCCTCCGCAAGGCCAGCCCAATGGCGACGAGCCGCGCGCACGTCGCCGCCTCCCAGGAGCGTCACAGCGGGTGGAAGCCGGAATCTCGCGACGCCACCGCCGCGCCTGCCCAGACGGCGGCGGGCGGACGCTGGCAGCCACAAAATGGCGGCGGCGGAGACAGCAGTGGGGTGAGCCGCGCGTGCCAAACGCCCTTCTCCCTCCCCCTCCCCGGGACTCCACAGTTCTGGAGTCACTGTACCCGCCCGCAGAAAGCCCTAACCACACCCCGAGCAAAGGTCTCGGCCCAATACTCGGGGGGGTCCGGGTAGTGAAGAGGTAAGGAGGCAGGGAGGGGCACACGAGCCCGTGTAAAAACGACCATAACCACGACCGCCCTTCCACCATCAGTTCCCCTCAAACAATACCCAAAGGGAGACGTGCCCCAGCGCCCACCTCGAATATACTGCGCTCATTGGACGCCGTCCTCCGCAAAGAGAGCAGCCCTGGCCACTCACGATCTGAGTGGCCATGAAGAAGCCTCGATCCGAGAAGCCTTTCCCTCAAAGTGAGCCACTCACCTACCGGACAGGATCTTTGGCAGCGGAGACCAGAGAGGTCCGTAGTCTGCGACGGAGCCGTCTACCTCCCCGCAGACCAGGACTAAACTCGTCTACGCCTCTCCACAACTGACGCACTTAGCTGCTCCTGCGTTTCACAAAATGGAGGGCGCGCCCTTGCGTCACTTCCGGTACCGCCCCTGGGACCTCCCTGCTGGATCCAGGGACGGAAATTTCCGCGGAGCCGGAAGTTTACGCGGGGCTGGGACCTCTTTACCGTAACCGCCCAAGCGACCTGCACCCGCGATGGGCGGAGCCGAGGGGCGGGGATTGGCGTGGTTGTGGCCGTCAGGGGCCCGACGCTGGAAGGGCCGCGGTTGAGAGTATGTGCTCCAACTAGGCCGCGAAGTGCTGTTCGTCATTGTTTCTCCCGTGAAGATACGCTAGAGCAAATGACGCTTCTCTTTTATCTGAAGTATTTTTTTAGATACCCCGAAAAGTACTGGGTAAAAGAAACTCAGGCTTAGCAAAAATATTTGGCCATCTATGACCCCTTGCTTCTTGCTGTTTATGGTTTTGGAGGACGCTCCTTAATGCACAAGTGAATATTTTAACCATACTGTCATACCGTGGACGTGTGGTTTATACTAAGAAGGATAAGGAACTGCAGTATTTTTTACGTGGAAGGTTCTTGCATGATGAAATATTCAAATTGGGACTGCAGCTAGCAGGCCATCGTGAATTGAAGCCAGAATGCAGATTTCTGCACTAGGGCTGATCTGGTTGGAAGAGGTTTCAAGCTACTTTTAAAGGCCAAATAGTATTTGGTTAACCCTCCCTGTTCAAGTTTCTGTAATGTAACACATAAAAGTAGAGCATTCATCAAAAACAAAGTCTATGTTTCAAAATGAGAGTGAAACAGCCTTCCACATCCTTAGCTCCACATTTTCCCAGCAAGGGTGTCAGGCTTAGCAATCCAGGCATAAAGAGAATGATTGTGAAAATGTTACTTTTCTTTAATGCTTTTAGGTGGAACCCAAGGCACCCCATTTTTCAGAGGTGCCCAGCATCAAGGGTTGCTGTTTGCAACTAGAGTTACACAGAGATAAGGTAGTTCAAGAAGCAGCAGAGCTACAGACCCTTACTCTGACCTTCCAGCCCTTAGAAACTCTAGGTTAGAATTTGGATAATTTGTATGGAATGAGCTCGTCCATTCATACATTTATTTTTTAATTTTTTTAAAAAGATTTTATTTGAGAGACAGCATGGAGGAGGGAGAAGCAGACACTACCACCACCACCTCACCCTCGCTGAGCAGGGAGCCCGTCACGGGGCTCCATCCCAGGACTCTGGGATCATGACCTGAGCCAAAGGCAGATGCTCAGTGGACTGAGCCACCCAGGCGCCCCTATATATTTGTTTAAGAAGAGCCTCAGTAGGTATATAGCAAAATTGTGAATTTAGTCATCTATGGTGTGGGGGATGAAGGTGGATTTAAAAGAAAATAAGCGTTTGTTAAAGGAAAACACCTTTAGCCACTAGCCTAATAAACACCGGCATCTCATAATGTACAAACTGTCCCAAACCAGTACTTAATTTAGCTACATTTGTTTGCTTTCTGCATAATTTTTAAAAAAATGGTCTTCCAATTATTTTCCACACTTTCTATTGACTATGATAGAAGCAATCACTTGTGATTTCACTCACTAAATGTTATTTTTGCTGCAATAACAAAGTAATCTAAAGAAGGTTTTCTGGGAGTGAAAGACAAGACTGATGGTGCTGTGTACATCATGAAAAAAGTTGCAGTCTTCAGCACACAGCATTGTGATTTTCTTCAGGAGTAATTTTTTTTTATAAAGCCTATTAATCTTAAAAATAAAACCATTATTTCACCAGCAAAATGAGTTTATTCAGGAATAGTAGAGAATTGTAACTCAAGATATATAAGCTGCAGAAAAACCATAGGCAAGTCCAACAAGAAGAACATGTTATGAAGAAGGAGGAAGTTGGAGGGATTGTTTTGAAGGAAAGTCCAAAGGTCTTTGGAGAAAAGTGTGTTTTCTCATTGGTTGAGCACAGGGGATACAGGGGTAGTCATTTTCTTTTTTTTTTTTCTTTAAAGATTTATTTATTTATTTATTTAAGAGAGAGAGAGTATGGGGGCGGGGAGCAGAGGCAGTGGGGGAGAATCCCAAGCAGACTCCCTGCTCAGGCTCCTTGCTCAGTGGGGAGCCTGCTTCTCCCTCTGCCTGCCGCTCCCCCTGCTTGTGCTGTCTCTCTCTCTCTGACAAATAAATAAAATCTTAAAAAAAAAAAAAAAACACCCAATGGCTTTTTCCTTAAAATAAAATAAAATAAAATAAACAATAAAATGAAATTAAAAAGTTAACACAGTTTATTGGCCATCTCTGTTGAGGTCTTTCAGCATAACCGTGGGAGGTTTCATTCGTCACGTTCCTGATTTCACTGAACACAGGGATCAGCAAATTATGGCTTGTGGGCCTAATCCAGCCTGCCACTTGTTTTTGTATGGCCTGAGGATGGTTTTACATTTTTAATGGTTGGGGTTGGGGGAAGGTGATCAAAAGAAGATTTCGTGACACATGAAAATTAGATGAAATTCAAAGGTCAGTATCCATCCATAAATTTTTTTTTTGAACACAGCCACTCCTGTTCTTTTACTTACTGCCTGTATCTGTTGTCCTGCCACAGAAGCAGGGCTGCATAGTTGCGATAGAGACCGTATGGACCACAATACCTAAAATATTGACTATCTGGCTCTTTACAGAAAACATTTGCCAACCCCTGAGCTAACTGATTCCTAAATTTTAAACTGTTTTGTGAAAGCTCCACCCAACTCCCTTTGGCACTTAAAACTGTAAACAAGGATAGAGGGTTTGAGCTTTATTTTTAAAGAGTTCATCGTGTCCCAATTATAAAAATATCTATATGCTTTGTCACAAAAATGTACAACAGGGAAAATAACTGAAAGAAGAGAACACTCGTGATCCCAGCTCACCAAATGAACCTCGGGTCATGGTTCGCTGTTTTTCCTTCTTCTGTTTTCTTTCCTGAGTGTTTAATACATGTTTTATTTTCCAGTTCAAAAATAATACATCACCATTTTCAAAAAACATAGGTTTTTTAAAAAAGATGTTTAAAGTATATTCTTATTCCCAACCCTGAAGGATACCTATTTGGCTTTTTAAATAATTTCTCTGTAGTGTGCTTCTAAAAAGAACAATTGCATTTTGAAAATATGAATCATCCTCATATATAGAATTTGGTTTCATGAGAGGTTTTTATTCATAAAACATAATCATGGGCATTTTCCATGTCTCTTTAATATATTTATGATCAAAAGTGTATATTCAAATTTGTGTTTGCTTTTCCGCTTAACATGATGCAAGCACATGACCAGGGAAAGTACCCAATCAGTAACTCTGTTTTTCTGAAAATGCCCTAAATACCACCAGATGCTTAAAAATTCCTATCCAAATCTTCCAACACAAAGAAAAAGTGCTACTTCCTTGCTTCTACCTAATAATTCTAAAGATTTTTTGAAAGGGTATCCTTAATTTCTCTTGGAAATTTATGGTTTTTTAAAATGTTCCATTTTTTGACAGATTTACCCCTACAGCCCTATTTGACTTCTTTCTATTGCTACATTGTGATTTTTTTTATCGTTGTTTAACTTAGTGCATAATAATTAAAAGACCTGTGAACCCACTACTTTAATTTTAGTGCCTACATCAGTGTTTCTCAACACCAGCCATAAACTAAAATCATCTGGGATGTGTTTGTAATGTTCTGCTGCTTGGGTCCCTACTGGCTGAAATTCTGATTTAATTGTCTGGGCTGGAACCCTAGTTTGTTAGTAAGGGCTGCAGGTCATTCTAATACTCAACCAGGAGTCTGAGAGGAATGCTGACCTAGATCTAGGAACTTACTTTTTTGTTCCCCATAAAATCCATCTATCATCTAGCTCCATCTTCCCTCCTCCAAATACCCATATCTCACTCAGGTTATGGCTGGAGCCCTAATTGGGACAGTCTTGGGGAAGCAGATGAACCTAAGTTCAGAGCACCTAAACACATCCCCCTTACCATACTTCTTAATATTGACAGCTCCTGTTTCCTGAGCCACTATTGTGTGCCCGGCATTGTCTAAGGACACTATACACATCAACTCAGTCAATCCTTACACAACCCTTCCATGTAGGTGTATAGCATTTTTTAAATGAAGAAGCTGAGGCTTACAGAATTTAACCATCTATCCTGCCCAGAACATTCCACTTCCTGATTTTCCTGTCAAGGCCCTTTTCACAAAAGCGTGACCTTCATGGGATGCCTTTCTGTACATTAGGAAGTGGCTCCAGAAATCCCAGAAGCACTTCTCCTGACTTTGAAGAGTCCTGGCCACCAAGGCTAGAGAAGGTTGGAGTGAGGTAGAAATCGGAAATGGCAGAGCTTCTCTGCACAGGGATTGAGCTGAAGGAGAAATAGGGCAGTATCTTTAGAAACGAAGAGAAGGGAAGATTAGCATAAGGGCTCCTGAGAATATTTTCTTAGGGATACAAAGTAATTCCCACT